AGTGGGGCTGATCTATTGGGAGCTCACCAAGGCCAGCTGGACTGTGACTGAAACAGCATGGGATAAAACCGGTCTCTCTGATCATGGCGAACAATGAGGACTGATGAGAAGCCAAGGTCAATGGCAAGGCTTTGATCCTACTTCATGTTCCGGCTTGGTGGGAGCCTAGCCAGTTTGGATGTTCACCTTCCTAGACATGGACGGAGGGGGGAGGACATTGGACTTTCCACGGGGCAGGGAACCATGACTGCTCTTTGGATTGGTGAGGGAGGGGGAGAAGAGTGGGGGGAGGGGGAGAAGAGCGGGGGGAGGGGAATGGAAATGGGAGGCTGGGAGGAGGCGGAAACTTTTTTTTCTTATTCTCAATAAAAAAAAGAGAAAAAAGAATTGAATCATATATCAGGGTTAGACAGACACAGAGAGAGAACCATTTACTGACTTTTTACAAAGATTAAGTAAGGCTGTAACAGACCCAGATGCTAAATGAGTACTCCCTGAATTTCTAGCTTTTGAAAATGCAGACTTAGAATCCAAAAAGATACTTAGGCCTTTTAAGTTTAGTTCAGCACCTACAGATAAATGGATTCTGCATACAGTGAATGTTGGCAACATTTGACTTAATGCTGAATTCTGGTTAGGAGAAGCATTTTCCAAAGGAATGAGTAGATATCAAACTTTCCTGGTACCTATTTATTGAGTAATCCCTATATAATAATCATAAACTATCAAGGGCCCTGCACTTGTCTCACTAAGCCAGCACAACAATACAATGAATGGTCACGCACATTTTACTCTGTGCACATCTCCACTAAGGAATCTCATAAAGCCCTTGCCAGTGCTGCACTGCACTATTCAGTGTCTGGCCCCTCAGTTAAGATTCTCTACAGTTATATTTTCACCAACCATTTGTCCTTCAGTTGCCTGATATGGCAAGAAAAAGCAAGAAGTAAATTTTCATTTCCTTCTGGCCCCTGTGTTCTTCTCCAAACTTAGACATTAGCCTTTACCCTACACAAACTCTATTGGTTTTCTGAATTCCAAATATCCCATTGTCCTGCTTTCAGCCTGTCAGGATGCCCCTTGAAGGCTAAAATAAATCATTTTGTGGCCTAGCTAATACTCATTTTACTCTTGGCACTCCCTAAACACCATCCTCCTCATTAGGTCTCTACTTCTTCACCTAAACACTCTCTCTCTCTCTCTCTCTCTCTCTCTCTCTCTCTCTCTCTCTCTCTCTCTCTCTCTCTTTGTGTGTGTGTGTGTGTGTTGTGTGTGTGATTTTGTACTGGTCCCAAGCTGAATTTATTATCATGGTAACTGCAGTGTAGTACCTGAGATAATGTGTATTACAATTTCATCACCATTCTTTTTACTGAGGGTTGTCTTGACTACCCCCTGCATATCACATTTAGCAAAGGCTTCTTTAAACCATTTAGTTATTCAGTAGGTACTATTTTTCTTCCTTTTAAAGAATTTTATACTGTGCTTTTATACAATTAAATATGATCACATCTCTATGCTATTTCCATTCAACTCCCTTCCATAACCTGTCCTATGTAAGTTTCTCACCACTTCATGGCAAGGAAAATGTCACTTAATATTGGCCATATGTGCATGTGTATAGAGACAAACACTGTAACATAGGAAACTACCAATGACTACAGTCTCAGATGAGAAGCATTCTACTTCTCCAGGAATGGTCTACATCCAACAGCTCCTCAGTAAGACAGTAAGAGATAATGTCTGAAAATAATCACCACTAGGGTTTTGGCAGACTTGGTCTTATATAGGGTTTACACACAAAACAGCAGCCATTATGAGTTCATGAATGTAATTACCATGTCACATGTAGTACACAGGATTTCACAGCACTGCTCCCCATGCTCCACCTTTCATATTCTTTCTTCCTCCTCTTCCTCTGTGTTTATTCAGCCTAGGAGGAACATGATCGACACTAGAAATTCATGTGTCAAACAGTAGAATAGAGATTGATGGGGGAGGAACACTGCCTGTTTTGATCATTTTAGAACCTAGATTATGTATTTGGTGTTCTCACTTCTATTTTGTAGATTTTGGAACTGGAAAGAAAACCCTAGGAATGGAAGACATCTTATGTTAGAAATAAAAAGTACCAAAGGCAGAGTAATACTGATGATGTGAAAGCAAAAGTGAGGTGTGCTGAGAGAAAGGGGATGAGTAGTGAGGAAACAAGAGAATTTAAGAAAATGTTGACAACTGAAAAAAAGCAAGGTCATCCTAAAACTTAATCAAAATCCCGGGATATGATAATTATATTAATTGGATGAAATAAAAACCAGGCTAAAACAACACAAAAGCAGTCATGAGTTGCCTGGTGTAAACATGAAGAAGATAATGATAGAAAGCTTAAATGAATCAAAGAGAGAACATAAGGATGCAGAATGTGAGTTTGATGAAAATAGAAATAAGTAACTGCAAAGTGGTAGTGAGACAAGGACAAGCCTTGTCTCGTTTCTAAGTCTACTGTTGCCTGCAAACAGCATTGTCTCAGAAATAATTAAAACTGAGAAAATTTCCAAGTATTCCCACAACAGACAAGGAGTTCTGCAAAGATCACATTTCAGGTCTGACCCTATCTAAGAAACACATCAGGGAGTAGAAATGTCCAGTCCAGACAACGGGAAAAGATAAGCTTGTGTATAGAAACAGAAATATGTGTGGAATTCCTTACTTACACATTTATACAGAGGAGACATATATCATGGAAATAAAGCAAGTTCTGTGCAGTTGCACAAAAGAGAAAAATAGGTGATGAATCCTTAACCAGGAAAGGATGAATACTGAACTACAATACTGTGTCAATTTCTATAAATGTCATCATTGTCTTTGATGACTGTTATCTGCTTTGAGAGATTCCTTCCACTGAGATCCAACTCCAGTGCTTCCTATAGTAGGAAGACATGAAAATAAGTTGTCTCTGTGCCCATGGATACCAACACTGCCCTGATCCTGCAGCTCTGGCAAAGGAGCCCATCATGAATTCCCAGGTCCTCCCATTCAGTGATTAGCACTAAAAACAGGCCACTCACCATGGACTTGAGGTTTAGTTCACTTTTTCTTGTCTTTATTTTAAAAGGTAATTTATAGAGATGAGAAGGTGTGTCACGTGTGTGCATGAGAATGAAAAAATGGATTTTGGTCAGTTTTATGATCAGATTTTTCTGCACTCTCAGGTGTCTAGTGAGAGGTGCAGTTTGTGGAGTCTTGGGGATTCTTAGTAAAGCCTGAGAAGCTCCTGAGACTCTGCGGATGCACCTTCAGTAACTATAACATGAACAGGGTTCTGCCCAGACACGGCAGAGTCTGGAGTGGTTTGCATGCATTAGTGGGTGGTAGTAGTTCCATCTACTATGCTCATGCCATGAAGATCTGATTCACCATCTCCAGAGACAAGGACAAGAACACTCTGTACCTGGAAATAGGCAGTGTGAAGTCTGAGGACACAGCCATGTATTACCGTGCAAAGTACACAGTTAGTGAATGCTACTATGAGCTCAGATGCAAACCTCCCTGCAAGTTCCTAATGATCAGCAGGATGCACTAAGTTCACACAGAGCTCTGGGTCACAGTAGAGCCTATTGGGAGAAGCAGTAAAGGCTAGACACATCTTTGATGTGATGATTCTCCATATCACAATTAGGAATTCTTTCTACAGGTGTGGTGTGTAGTAATCCTTAAAGTGTCCAAATGTTTATTTAAATTTCTGTTTTTTCAGTTTGATAAGTGTTTTTGTATTTATTTTATTCATGTTTATTTTATAAAATCATATTTATATATGTATGTGTTATACTGTTTTTCTTCATCTCTCTCCCTTCCCTTCACCCTGCCCTCATATATATGTGTATTTGTATACATTTTGATATGTGATTCATTCACCTGTCAATCAGCACTTTATTTTAATGACAGTTTGTATCAAATGACCCTGTTGCTGGAGGCTGTTTGTTTATTTCCCAGCCTCCCAGCCTCCCAAAATAATCACTATCAAGAGTATTGGTAGCTACCTCTTATATCTTTAGTTAACCCATTTCTATTCATTTTATATTTTACCAATATGCTCATGGCATGATATATATATCATCTAGCCTGGCTATATTCTGCTAAGCCATTGGCCGAAACCACCTTATTTATTAACCAATAAAAGTAACACATAGACAGGAAGACTTCCTGCACCATGGCTTGGGGATCACAAATGGTTAGTCTAGTTTTAGTGAGTCCCAGTCATTATGCTGTCTCCATATCCCATAAATGGGAAAACTTGTTGGCTGACACACAGCTCTTTTTTTAGCCTTGGAGACTTGAGCTCATAATTAAGGTCCCAGTTGAAGGCTCTGCTTCACAAGAACCTGAACTGCAGAGCTCTTTCCATTGCCTCATTTAAGTTGCATTTTAAATTTAGGGTGTACTCAGACATGAACAAAATGAAAACTGTCATAAAGGGTGGAACTGATTCTGTGGTGAACAACGTCAGACCTTAAAGAAACTAAAGAGACATTAGATTTTAAATCATAGACTAAGTGCAGTTTGTAATCACATGTGAGTCCAGACCTCTGAATGTCTCCATTCACCATGCACACAGAAACATGTATGCATAACTCAAAATACTGTATTTCCTGGTGGTCGTGGTGCACATCTTTGATTTCAGCACTAAGAAGGCAGAAGCAGGCTGATCATTTAAGTTCGAGGCCAGCCTGGTCTGCAGAGTCAGAGCCAGGACAGCTAGGGCTATTCCACAGAGAAATCCGGTCTTGAAAAAATATTTACTTAACAAACTACCAATCTAGTGCTGTGAGTTAATTTGAAGGAAGTGTTCTTGTGTGGTATATATGATGATTTGATTCAAAAAGAAACATTCCAAGTATTAATTCCTCATTTTAATTAATAAATACTATGTTTGAATCATCACTACTCCCTGTTAAAGGTTAGGAATTATTTCTCATCAAAAGAACTGTCTCATTTTTCTTCTCAAGTAAAACTCATTTTAATCACTTCTCTGAGATTTCAATCCACAGGACAGCACATAGCTCAGGGATCACAGGGTCATTCAGAGTGGATGCAGGAGAGAGAGGGTACTTGGATGTATCACTATTATCAAGCTATATTATGAATGAAGATGATATTTAAAATAGAGTAAATGACATTCAAATAACGTATTGACATACATATATCTCTTTGCTCTAGTATATATGTCTTTCTATAGGTTTTCTCTTTTGTTATGTCTGTCTGTCTGTGTCTATGCCTGGGATTTTATGTTTGCTTAAGAGAGGCATATTTTCTCATACTGTGTTAATAGATTACCTTACAGAAGTTACCACAGCATCCTCTGAACACAGATCCCAGCTCAGGTGTCAGGTGCCCTGGGAGACTTAGAGTGGGGGATTGACTTCACAGTCAGGGCCTCCCTTCCCTTTATAAAGGCTCTAAACACAACCCAGATCCACTTTCTGCCTAAGATCCAAAGTGACAATCAGAACACCAGTGATGGAGAGCACAACTCAGTAGCCCCTGCCTTCCTCAGTTCAGTGTGTTGCAGACAATGTGTTTTCATGTGCACAGTACATTCTTATTTTTTACCATTTCATGCAAGTGTGTGGTGTTGAATATAATTAGGGAAAATCCTGAATGCTCTAGGAGTCTTTACAGTACATGATGATTTCATCACTTCATGTACTCTAGATTCTGGATGAGTGCCACAAGCTGGGAAGGGAGGTTCTTTCCTCATTTTATTTCTTTGATTTTATTTGTTCTTCCTACTCCCATTCAGAATATTGATCATATCCATTTTTATACTGTGTTACACACATTCAGAAGTGCTGGATATCAAATAGAAGTGGGGGCTGGTGTTTGTTTTGAATGTTGTAATCAAAACTATATTTTCTGATGGAAATGTGATATTTTAAAAATAGGAGGGCTAGGCTAGCTCTGAGTTATAGTACTTGCATTCAATCTACAAGGTATTAACTTCAAGAAAAAAAGTTCAAATTAAAAAAATCAGAATTGTATATATAGAAATATTATTTACCACATTAATAGACTTAAAATAGGAAATCTTGTGGCTGGAGAAGGAATGATAGCTCCTAGAGTAGAAAGGGCAGATTAAAGTTTTCAAGTGGGAAAAAGTATACAGTGAGTGAGAGGAGTTCTGTTCTTGCTTCCCATAAAAATCAGCTCTGCCTAGGACTGCAGCATTCTTGACTTGCTTCTAAATAACTATAAATGATGAGCTCAACACATGGAAAGGGAAATGATCAAAAGAATGGAAACATTAATTATCACAGTGTATGATTGCACATGGGTGTAGAGGCCACAAGTCGATTCTGAATGTATTCTTCAGTTGACTTCTACCTTATTTTTTGAGGGTCTCACACTAAACCTGAAGTTCAGGAGGGTCATATAGAATGGTTGGATGGCAAGATCTAGAGAAGCTACTTTTAGTACCTCACCAGTTCTGAGAATATAAGGATAAATCATCACAACCAGCTTCAGAGTTAAGTGCTGAAAATCAAGCTAAAACACAAATTCTGTGAGGCAGGCACCTTACTACTGAACCATCTCCTCAGCCCTGAATTGTAGCACTATTCATTGTAAACATTAATAAAAATGTTGTAAACTATAAAACTAGCATATATCATATAATAATTTTTAAGAGAACAAGTATCGTCAATTCTGTACTTTTAAACTGTTTATTGTCAATATGAAAATGAATGCTATGTGTCTGGCCCCAAACATGTCTCTAAAAATAAGCCTGTTATAGATTTGGGCAAGTTGTGAAATAGGAAAGATATGAGAAGAGATGAGGGAAGAACATAATGATCAGAATTCATTATATGAAACAATTATTTCAATTTTTGAAGAGCTCTGTATGAGATGGTTGGGAATGAACACCTTTGATTCTGTCGCTGGGGAGATAGTGGCAAGAGAATACCTCATGGTTCAATATCAGCTTGGGCTACATAGTCAGCCCAAGCCAATCAGAGTGGCCTTGTGTACAAAAAAAAAAAAAAACAGGAAGAACAGTCCCTCTGCTTGTAAATAAATATTTCTACATGTGGGTATGATACTGGTGGAGGTGTTTGAGGTGATGCTGGTGGTAGTGTCTGTGTGTGTGTGTGCGTGTGATTACATCATTAAATGTTACCGTTGGAATGAAATTATATTTGTGACTCTGTCTGTAAGTATGACTCTGTGTGAGTGTGCATGTGTGTGTTGCCAAGTGTGGCTGTACCTAACAGTGTAACTATGGTTGCAGTTGCGCATACTGTCACCATCCCCACCCTTATTTTCTCATCAGAAACATTTTAAACTGACCCAGTCTGTTACCTATTGATGTGGTTAGCAATATAGAAAGGAAAGAGTTTGTTTAATCTTAAATATTACAGGCGATCAGGGAGGAAAACTAGGACGCGAAATCACCATCCTAGACCTGGATGGAGTGGGGAGGACCTTGGACTTCCCACAGGGCAGGAATCCTTGACTGCTCTTAGGTCTGGAGAGGGAGGGAGAAAGGGAGTGGGGGGAGTAAGAGGGAAATGCGAAGAGGGGAGGAGGTGGAAATTTTTAATAAATAAATTAATTAATTAAAAAAGAAACCAAAAAGTGAGGACTGAATCGGAGATCAAAAATAAACTCAACTCATGTCTTTAATACCAGCACTCAAGAGGCAGAACAATGTGAATCTCTGTAAGTTTGAGGCCAGCCTGATCTACAAGAGCTAGTTCAAGTACAGGCCCCAAAGATACAGAGAAACCCTGTCTTGAAAAATCGTAAATAAATAAGCAAATAAATAAATAGATAAATAAACTCAATTCATAGGCTTGTTTTCCATGGTTGTGCAGTCTGCTTCCTTATAAAATGCAGGAACACCTGCCCACGGATGGCAACATCTACATCAGTCTGGCCCCTCCTGCATCAGTCGTTAATCAAAAAAATGATATCAGTCTTGTCTGAAGATCAATCTAATGGGGTATTTTTTTCCAAATAAGACTCCTTTTTTATGATAGCCCTAGACTATATCATATAAAAAGAATCTGATCACCACACAAGTGGACAGGCTGGTACTGTTAAATCTACATGACCCATTAAGTGAGTATCCATCTATCCACTTTACATAATTAAAGAAATGACTGAATAAACCCTTAAGAATAAGGATACAGCTCTCAAATAGAAGATAATAATGAATAATGTGTGACTTTACCATGAATGAATTCCCTTTGCAAATGCTGTTTTCCCAGTGACTTCCTTCTTGAGAGTCCCATGAAAAAAGAGAAACCCAAGGAGTAAGAGAGTACGGAATATGGACACAAACTCTCTGTGGGAGTTTGAATGAAATTGGCACAAATAATATCAAAGGGAGTGACACCTTTAAGATGTGAAGCACTGCTGGAGTGGGCATGGCCTGGTTGGAGGAAATGTGTCACTATGGAAGGTAGGCTTTGAGATTTTCTGTGCTCAGGGTGCTGCCCAGTCTGTCAGTTGACTTCTTGTTCCTTACAAGATATGGACTCTCAGCTATTCCTCCAGCACCATGACTTACTGCATGCAGCCATTCTTCCTGCCATGATGAGAATGGACTGAAGTTCTGGAGCAACAGGAAAGTCCCCTAATTATATGGTTTCCTTATAACAGTTGTGGTCATGGTGGCTTTTCACAGAAATGGAAACCTAAATTAGACAATATCTTTGAAGTAACTAAAGACAAAAAAATATTTGAATACGTGGATTTATACGTAGTTCCCCAATATAGTATAAGAAATGTGCATTTATTTCTGAGGTACTCCTTTCCAGATTATTGTAAACACAATGAAAATATCAAACAAACCCAAGATGATACATACTAAGCATCATGTCTGAAAAAAATCTTTTTATAATCCTGAAGCATTCAAAGATGCAGGCAACATTTAACTCATACTGTACATGATGATAAATGTTTTCACAGGTTGGCTGTCTCCCTAAAGTGAAGAGCAGTTTTACCACAGCAACTCACAGTAGAAAGTGAAGAGACTATGCATAAAGAAATAATGGACACAAACTGTGACGTCTCTAATGCCATGTTAGACAGACATTTCCTGATCTTAAAGGAACAGGTTAGTTCCACATATGCACTTCTCTTTCCTAGTAATTTGAATTAACAAGACACAGGAAAAAAAAAAAACACTAGAAACTCTTGTTATCTATACCTTACCTATCATTAAAGTCACACGGTTTCCCATATTCATATCTGCCTTCTTGTCATCACTTAATGTTTTCTGTCTTGTTATTACTTCAGTGAACATAACCCTCAGATCTGGCTGTATGCTTCTCCTTTTTCTGAAGTGTTATAAGTAGCTCAACTTCCCATAAGTTACCAAAGCAACAATCATATTTAGGAACCCGTGATTGGCTGCTTGCAGAGGAGAGTGACAAATATAGATATTAAAGTACAAGGATAAACTGACATAAATCAAGAGGAATGAAAACTAGTGTCCAGATAGGATGTTCCTAAGTGAGAAGGTGAAATCTGAGCCCAATAAGATGGGACACAAATCAGTCCCAAGATTTACTTACAGATAAATAGGGGAAATCACATGTATGAAATGTGTGTGAGCTGCTTCTTCACAAGTTACTTCCTGAGAAGTTATAAGAATGAGAGAACTCCACAGACACCAAGAGAAAGAATTTTAAGTAGTTCCTTAAAGAGGATCTGATCACCAAAAGTACCAATACCACTTAAATTCTCTACTGGAAGTTAAAGAGATACATAAATCCATTGAAAACTTGGTATCCTCCTCTGCCTGAACTGAATGAATTTGAATCAAGTTAATGTAAACACTTTCATGGTTTGCTTATAAGGCTTGTATTATATGACTAAATATTTCCTGTTTTTCTGGGATTGGAAATCAAGACAGAATTACAGAAATGTTCCTGAGGTTCAATATTGAGTACCTCTAAGATGCACAAAGAAAATCTCATTTTCCTGGAGGAGAAATTGGAAACATTGCCTGTTCTTCCTCTTATGCTCTCTGGAACCTCCCCCAATGCAACGCAGACCTCAAGCTCAGAATGAAATCCAAGGCCAAGCTGAGAGGCCCCATCTCCTTCTGACTAGAGCCTCCAACACAGCATGGCTGTCCTAGTGCTGCTCCTCTGTCTGGTGACATTTCCAAGCTGTAAGTGCTTCAGGGTTTCAGGAAAGGGACCCAGGTTTTTTGTCTATGGGTTATATGACTGATGGTGATGTTGCTTGTCCTTAGGTACCTTGTCCCAGATACAGCTGAAGGAGTCAGGACCTGACCTGGTGCAGCCATCACAGACCCTGTCGCTCACCTGCACTGTCTCTGGAGTCTCATTAACCAGCAATGCTGTAAGCTTGATCCGTCAGCCTTCAGGAAGAGGTCTGGAGTGGATGGGAGGAATAGAGAGCAATGGAAATGCATATTATAATTCAGCTCTTCAGTCCCGAATCAGCATCATCAGGGACACCTCCAAGAGCCAAGTTTTCTTAAAACTGAACATTCTGCAAACTGAAGACCCAGCCATGTATTTCTGTGCCACAGACATAGTGAGAGAACTCCAGTGTGAGCCTGCGCAAAAACCTCCTATGGAGACACTCACGACCAGCAGGGGGCATTGGAGACCAACAGGGTCTCCCAAGAGCAGTATGGGGTTGCTTAATAAGATAAGAAGTTCTAAACTACGCTGCATGGAAATATGTTTCAATATTAGAATCTGTGTTTTTCTCTTCCAAACACAAATAAGAAAAAAATTCTCTAGAGGCCTCTCTTTACGGTCATAGTCTAATAAACTTCATATTTGTTCAAATACTATAACAAATAGCTTTTCCCACAGGCTCTGTAAGCTAACAATCCCCTTCTTCTTATTAGACAGAATGACATATAATTTTGTATGTTTTACATACACATGCACATATACATACATGTTCACACATTTTCTTAATATATTTTAAAGGAGTAAGCAGTTATGACACTTGTTGGATGTTAGGTTCAGTTATAAGCTAGAGAACTTTAAAAGACCTGTAGTTTGTCCTCTTTGTTTTTGCACCTGTGATAAAGAAACCACAGCTTCGCTACTTTAATGTTGTTTTCTCACAACATCCTTGAAATTGAAATACCCATAGTTTTCTTCTACACCAAGAGGGTCCCATAAAAGGATAGAACTGATTATTGCTTTTCACAGATCCCATTTCATGCGTTAGCATTTTGGTAAAAATTAGCGTTGACATCAGATTTATAAGCAGTGGTTCCTCAGGCTAAATAAATAGTTATTGACTGGGGGTCTGTCTAACTCTAAAACTCATGTTCTCCATATATGAAAACAGGATGTGTTCTTATTAACTTTGGTCAACTTCTACATAACTCATTATCTGGGATAATCCTTCCCAACTAACAGATTAATCTTCTCACTCTACACTGTCCAAACCATGATCAGACTTCCCTAATTTTACATTTCCTAAGATGAGCTTCTTAAGTTGCACATGGTAAGTGGTCATCTTGTCCTCTTGATGCTGATTTATTACTGATACAAGGCCCTTCATATTCATGCAGATTGGTTTAATATTTCAACTGTTGAGAACTGAGCTGCAGCAAACGTAAAAGGGAAGGTTGCCACTGCTTATCTGCATATTCGGGAAGAAGTTCAGAGGTTCAGAGGGCATATTGTTCTTGCAGGGAAACAGTTTCAAATTCTGGCACTTATGATGTTTAAATCATACCTTACTGTAAGTCTGGAGAACCCATGGTCTCTGTCCCCATGCACAGTATACTACTCACACCGAAACATTTCATCTTCTGGGGTCTGGGTTACCTCACTCAGGATAGTGTTTTCTGTATCCATCCATTTCCATGCAAAATTCAAGATGTCATTGTTTTTTACTGCTGAGAAGTACTCTAATGCATATATATTCCACACTTTCTTTATCCATTCTTCCATTGAGGGGCATCTAGGTTGTTTCCAGGTTCTGGCTAATACAAATAATGTTGATATCAACATAGTTGAACAAATGCTTTTGTCATATGATAGGGCATCTCTTTGGTATATTCCCAAGAGTGGTATTGCTGAATCCTGAGGTAGGTTGATCCCGAATTTCCGGAGAAACCCTCCACACTGCTTTCCAAAGGAGTTGCACAAGTTTGCATTCCCACCAGCACCTTACTCCGCATCCTCTCCAGCAAAGGCTATCATTGGTGTTTTTGATTTTAGCCATTCTGATGGTGTAATATGGTATTTCAAAGTTGTTTTGATTTACACTTCCCTGATAGCTGAGGAGGTCGAGCATGACCATAAGTGTCTTTTGGCCATTTGAACTTCTTCTGTTGAGAATTCTCTGTTCAGTTCAGTGCCCCATTTTTAATTGGGTTAATTAGCATTTTAGGGTCTAGTTTCTTGAATTCATTATATATTTTGGAGATCAGACCTTTGTCTTATGCAGGGTTGGTTAAGATCTTCTTTGGGGCAGCTGAGGATAGGGAACCTGAAATGACCCTATCCTATAGCCATACTGATGAATATCTTGCATATCACCATAGAACCTTCATCTGGCAATGGATGGAGATAGAGACAGAGACACACACTGGAGCACCCGACTGAGCTCCCAATGTCCCAATGAGGAGCAGAAGGAGGGAGAACATGAGCAAAGAAGTCAGGACCACAAGGGGTGCACCCACCCACGGAGACAGTTGGGCTGATCACTTGGGAGCTCACCAAGGCCAGCTGGACTGTGACTGAAAAAGCATGGGATAAAACCGGACTCTCTTACCATGGTGAACAATAACGGCTGATGAGAAGCCGAGGACAATGGGATGGGGTTTTGATCCTACTTCATGTTCTGGCTTTGTGGGAGCCTAGACTGTTTGGATGTTCACCTTCCTAGACCAGGATGGAGGAGGAAGGACTTTGGACTTTCCACAGGGCAGGGAACCCTGCTCTTCAGACTGAAGAGGGAGGGGGAGAGGAGTGGGGGTAGGGGGAGAGAAGTGGAAGGAGTGGGAGGGAAATGGGAGGCTGGGAGGAGGTGGATTTTTTTTAATAAAAATAAATAAATAAATAAATAAATAAATAAATAAATAAATCTCTCAATCACTAGGTTGCCTTTTTGTTTTAAGGACAGTACTTTTTGTTATACAGAAGCTTCTCAGTTTTGGGAGGTTCCATTTATTCAATGTTGCCCTTACTGTTTGTGCTACTTCAGTTAAACGTAGGAAGTGGTATCCTCAGCCCATATGTTGTAGACTACTTCCCACTTTCTCTTCTATTAAGTTCAGTATATTTTGATCAATATTGAGGTCTCTAATCCATTTGGACTTGAGTTTTGTGCATGGTGATAGATATGGATCAATTTTCATTCTTCTACAGGTTGACATCCAGTTCTGCCAGCACCATTTGTTGAAGATGCTTTCCTTCTTCCATTGTATACTTTTAGCTCCTTTGTCAAACATCAGGTGTTCATAGGTCTTCTAATGGATTCCATTGGTCGACATTCCATTCTTTGTTTTTATGCCAATACTAAGCTGTTTTCAATACTGTAGGTCTATAATAGAGTTTGAAGTAACGGATGGTAATGCCTCCAGAAGTTCCTTTATTGTATAAAATTGTTTTGGCTATCCTGGGTTTTTTTCCATATAAAGTTGATTATTGTTCACTCAAGGTCTGTGAAGAATTTTTTTGGGATTTTAATGGGAATTGCATTGAATTTATAGATTATTTTTGGTAGAATTGCCATGTTTACTATGTTGATCCTACCCATCCAAGAGCATGGGAGATCCTTGCATTATCTGGTGTCCTGTTCAATTTCTTTCTTCAATGCCTTAAAGTTCCTATCAAATAGATATTTCACTTCCTTGGTTAGAGTTACCCCAAGATAGTTTTTGCTATTTGTGGCTATTATAAAAGGTGAAGTTTCTCTGAATTCCCCCTCTGCTTCTCTATCCTTTGTGTATAGGAAGGCTACTAATTTTTTTTTGAGTTGATCTTGTAGGGGGCTGGAGAGATGGCTCAAGGGTTAAAAGCATTGCCTGCTCTTCCAAAGGTCCTGAGTTCAATTTCCAGCAACATGGTGGCTCACAACCATCTGTAATGAGGTTTGGTGTCCTCTTTTGCCCTGCAGGCATACACACAGACAGAATATTGTATACATAATAAATAAGAAAAAAAAGGATAATGAGTTAATCTTGTAACCTGCCACATCACTTAAGGTATTTATCAGCTTTATGAGTTCTTTGGTAGAGTTTTTGGGGTCACTAATGTACACTATCATATCATCTGCAAATAACAAAAGTTTGATTTTTTCCTTCCTGATTCGAATCCCCTTGATCTCCTTATGTTGTATTATTGCTATTGCTAGAACTTCAAGAAATATGTTGAAGAGCCATGGAGAGAGTGGACAGCCTTGTTGTGTTCCTGATTTTAGTGGAATAGCTTTGAGTTTCTCTTCATTTAAGTTGATATTAGCTCTTGGCTTGATATATATTGCTTTTAGTATATTTAGTTATGATCCTTGTATCCCTAACCACTCCAAAACTTTTGTCATAAAGGGGTATTGAATTTTGTCAAACGCTTTTTCCACATCTAATGAAATGATCATATTTTTTTTTTCAAAAATATACTGGGCCAATCTCACTCATGAACATTGGTACAATTTCTTTTTGTATCTCATGGTATTAATAATAAGCACAAAGCGTGTTCTTATTTATACATGGAATATAAAAATCATTCATGTTGCTATTGTTCACCTGCAAGAAAACCTCCAACTGCTCCATAAGCCTGGGCAACAGAGACAACATCCTAAATCTCTTTGTTGCAACTTACTAATGGGAAATCCTGAAGTCCAACCTACTGTCTACAACCTGGGGCACTAGGACAAGAAGCCCTAGGTTTTGACATAATGCAAAGAAATACTTGTATTCAGAATGAATTATAGGATGTGGACACTGGGTCCTATTTGCAGGCTTTATCAGAGAAGACCATGCTGTAAATATTGGGCTGCAATTTGGTCAAGGTTAGGTGCCAGTTCTTATGTTTTCCTGATTCTGAGACAGTTTAGAGACATTCCTGTTTAATCACATGAGTCAAACTTATCCAGAAAATTTGAAATATAATGTTTGGATTCTCTTTGCTAAAATACATTCTGTTTCTATTAAACATGCAAGATATAACATTTTGTGGTTATAAATTTTGTAACTAGTACCCCCTCACTTTTCTCAACAAGGAAATTTCTGCATGTTTTAAGTTAAGATGATTTTAATGATTCTTGATTTGTCATCTAAAATATATTTGAAAATGTTAATGTTTTCCATGTTTAATTTTATCTGCATCTTTTTTTCCATGTATATCAAAATAAAAACTTGTTCTTCTATCACCTTCATAGTGACTGCACCCGTAACTGCTGTTGTTTCAAATAGTAATTTTGACTCCATGGTTACTAAGTAGTCCACGTCTGAGCCAATCAGATCCAAACCCACCACTGCCACAAAATGTAGTTAGTAACTAAATCTCTAATGTTCTATATACCAGTAAAACTCAGAAGCCAGAAGATGAGCTGGCAACTCACTAGCTCAGAGAGTTGAGGAGCTGACATTTCCTCTTCATCATGGTCTCAGAATTGAGAGTATCTTAGTATTATATCAACTCAAAAATAATGGCCACAGTCACAGTCACTTCTTCCATCTTCCTGTGCATCTCTGTATCTGTGAAAATATAATCCAGTTCTCAAATTTTGGGTCACCATCAGCAGGGACACCTCAATGAGACAAGTTTCCTTAAAATGCAGCACTCTGCAAACTGAGGACATAGACATGTATTACTGTGACTGACACACAGTGAGGGAAACCCAGTGTGAGCCTGCAGAAAGCCCCTCTTCAGAGATACTTGGAAACAGGACGGGATGCAAAGGACCGACAGGAGTTCTAAGACCATTAGGGGTCACTTCAGAAACATAGAAGATATAGAATATGCTGCATGAACTCTTGTTTTAGTTTTAAAATGTGAGGTTTCTTCTTTCAATCAGAAAATCCAGTTGAGGTCCCACTCAACTGTTGAAACCCCTTTGATCTGTGAGTTCCCCTTTAATTAAAGAACCCCTTATGATACCCTATTTGTAGATAGTGTGGGATTACTTCATTTTGTGCTTTTCCCTTCATCTGGCATGTTTCCCTTTAAAGATACATTACACAGATTTTTCAAAAAGAAAATTATTGAGGTTTTGTGAGCATATAATAATTTCTGCATACAATAACATTTTGTATCACTATATGAAATCACTATACTATAGATAATTAAGTATTTATTGCTTTTCCAAAGTTTTGTCAATATTCCCTCATATGATTATATTCACTTATTTGGGAAATACACACTGACACTAGTTATGCTTTCTGGATGAGTTTTCCTGGCATTTTTCCCTTTAAAAAATGTTGATGGAATTTTTTTAATGTTAGCAGACACTCTTGGTCTCTGTGTTTTCTGTACCAATGGATTGTTTGTCTCCAGGCTTCCTGGTCAAAATGCCTGTTTCTAAAGGATGGGAAGTCTGTGTTAGATAACATCTTTGTCTCCCACTGTCTTGAAACTCAGGGATACTCAAGAATTGTTGATTAATTGTGTTTTAACAGATATAAGAAACATAAAAAAAATGTTTGTCATCCTTCCCCTCCCAGGATTCTGTCTTGGGATGCTTAGTCAATACTTCCCCTACTTCTCACTCAAATTGCCCAGTGCCCTGCTCTCTACCTGACAGATGACACATGCATCCATAAGAGAATTCTGTATTGACCTTGCAAATGATTACTCATTTCTGGGAACCTCCACAAGCACCATCAACCACCTCAGGTCTTTTGCTTCTCTCCTAGACCCCATATGTCAGCATTTTAGCTGGTGCCATACTGACTTTATTATCTTCGGTGTAGTTTGAAATAAAGTGTTGGCTAAAACTTTATCACCATTTCTTTTTCTAAAGGTTGCCTTGCCTACCCATTTCTTTCATTTAGTAGTATCTTCCTTAAGCATTTCTTTGGGGATTTACTTTTTAACAATTCAGCCATTCAATATGTACTATTTTATCTTTATTTTTAGAAACTGTACACCCTAAATATAATCAAATTTATACCCTATTTTCCCTTCCACTCCCCACCATATAATCCCCAACATAAACTTTTCACAACCTGTTGGCCTCTTTAAATCTAGTTAATGCTGCCCATGTGTGCATGGATTTATAGGCAGGCACAGCAGTATAAGAAAGCTAACAAAGATCACATTATAAAAAAGAAAGTGTCTCAGTTTTCAGGAAAGATCTATATCCAACAGATCATCAGTAAGAGGGAAGGCCTGGAAATAATTTACACAGTGGTTTTGACTGCCTTGGTCTTAGGTATGCTTGCTTACACAGAAAACAACTGCCTCTATGAGTTCATGAGATGAGAGCCATGTCAAATCCAGAATTCAGCAGTTAACAGTGCTCTTCTTTATGCTCAGCCTCTTCTTTCCATCTACTCTCCTCAGTGTTCTCTGAGTCTTGGAAGAATGTAATTGGAATTGGAAACTGTTATGTCATAAACTATAACAAATATTGAGAAGGACACAGACTACCTCATCCTTTCATATCCAGAACCTAGATTTATTGTGTTAAGTGTTCTGGCATCTGCTTTATATACCTTGTAACTAGAATGCGAGCCCTAGTAAAGGAAGACATCTTAAGTGAGAGACAAGGAGAATGAAGCACAGGGTAATGTTGGTGCTGTTAGAGCAAAAGCTGGCAGTGAAGGTAGAAAGTAGATGAGTAGGAGGGAAACCAGACAACTGCTTAAATAACAATAAGTTTTTCCCAAAACTTAATCAAAATTCTGGTTTTGACAATTATATTATTAGGTAAATGAAAACTATTCTAACACAATATAAAGACAGTCATGAGTTGTCTGGAGTAATGATGACAGAAGGTAACACTGGAGTGGGTGTTTAAAGGAATCAAAGAGAGAATGGAAAAAGTGCATTTGGTGCTAATGGAAATAGGTCTCCTTAGCAAGTGCAAAGAAGTGGAGAGAAAGAGTGACAAGGGATATCTCTCTTTCAATTCTCCTATAGCATGAGGACAGCCTGGTCTCAAAAATAAGTAAAATTCAGAAAATACCAAAGTGTTCTTGCAACAGAGACTGAGTTATGCTAACAGCATCTGAATGTTGTGACCTTGTCAAAGAGACACATCAGGGAGAATCCATTTCCATGCCAGAAAGTAGGAAAAACTGAGCTCCTGTGTTTGGCAGACATAATTTCATATTTGTATTAAGAGACCTGATAGCAAATATCCACATGTTCTGTGCACACATACATAAAGAAACTAACTGGAGTGCTGTGAATTCTTTCTTCACAAGGAAAATGAGAATCCAGAACTACAATTTTATTTCAAATTCTATAACTGTCATCGTTGATTTTGATGCCTTATATCTGTTATGAGCACTGCCTTCCCTCAATGCTCCAATTCTAGAACAATTGAGCAGGGAGACATGCAAATGAGTGTTCTCTGTGCCAATGAAAACCAGCACTGCCCTGACCCTGCAGCTCAGACAGAGAAGCCCAGACCTGAGTTCCCTGGTCCTTCTACTCACAGATCACTACTAATCAGACACCATTCACCATGGACTTGGGGCTTAGTTGGCTCTTCCTTGCCATTGTTTTAAAAGGTAATGGAGACCAGATGTTGTGTGCATCTGTGTATATGAGGATGAAGAAAATTAGATTCTGTGAGAGTTTTCTAATCAGAAATCTCTTTGTTTGCAGGTGTCCAAAGTGAGGTTCAGCTTGTGCAGTCGGGAGGAGGCTTGGTGCAACCTGGAAAGTCCCTAAAACTCTCCTGTGTGGCCTCTGGATTTACCTGCAGTAGTTATTGGATGAGCTGGGTCCGCCAGGCTCCAGGGAAGGCCCTGGAGTGGGTTGCATATATTTATAATAGTAATAGCATCTACTATGCCGACGCTGTGAAGGGCCGATTCACCATCTCCAGAGACAATGCCAAGAACACCCTATATCTGGAAATGGGCAGTCTGAAGTCTGAGGACACAGCCATATATTATTGTGCAAGAGACACAGTGAGTGAAAGCTACTGTGAACTCACACACAAACCTCCATGCAAAGTACTCCGGACCAGCAGGTGGCGATGAGAGCACACAGAGCTCTGGGCCACAGAGGAGCCTGATCAGAGAGGCATAAAGAGATGGACTCCTCTGTGTCTGGGCCACATCTCCATATCACATTCTAAGATTCTCTCTACAGTAATCTTTGAACTGTTCACAGTTTTATTCAAATATATATTTTCCATTGTGACATGCTTTTCTGTTTGTTTATTGTACTGTTTTTGTTCTCTGCCTCTTTTACTCTCGCTCTCTCTTTTACTCTCCCTCACGTTCTCCTTCTGACACTGCTCTTCCTCTCTTTCTGCCTCCTCACTTCCTCCCTCCACCCCCGGAACATGATGACATATAATGTATTCCTCTATTAATCCGCAGTATATATTTGACACAGTTTTTAAAACTAGGCCTGAAAATTTGCCAACTGGCTTGATTGGTTGTCCAGTGAGTCCCAATGATTATGCTATCGACACATCCCTTAAATAAAACAACTTCTTGGCTAACAAACCCATTCATTTTGCAATCATAAAGATCAAAGCTCAAAGTTAGATTCTATTCAATTTTTCTTCTGTGGAAAGAAAATGAACTACACAATTATTTGCATGGTCCTGTTACCAGAATGCATTCTTACCAGAAGAAAATCATCAGCAAGGCTGACGTGATTATGTATAGTGAAGTGTATCAGATTCTTCTTTTTATTTATTTTTATTTATTTTTTATTGAGAAAACTTCAGCCTCCTCCCCGTCTCTCATTTCCCTCCCCTCCTCCCACTCCTCTCCTCCCCCTCCCCACACTCCTCTCCTCCCACTCCATTCCTCCTCCCTCTCCAATCTGAAGAGCAGTCCAGATTCCCTGCCCTGTGGGAAGTCCAAGGTGCTCCCCCCTCCATCCAGGTCAGGAAGATGAGCAGCCAAACAAGCTAGGCTCCCACAAAGCCAGTTCATGCAGTAGAATCAAAACCCAGTGCCATTGTCCTTAGCTTCTCATCAGCTCTCATTGTCCGCCATGTTCAGAGAGTCTGGTTTTATCCCATTCTCATTCAGTTCCAGTTCAGCTAGCCTTGGTGAGCTCCCAATGGATAAGCCCAAGTGTCACAGTGGGTGGGTGCACACCTCGTGGTCCTGACTTCCTTGCTCATGTTCTCCCTCCTTCTGCTCCTCATTGGGACTTTGGGAGCTTAGTCCAATGCTACAGTGTGGGTCTCTGTCTCTATCTCCATCCATCGCCAGATGAAGGTTCTATGGTGATATGCAAGATATTCATCAATATGGCTATCGGATAGGGTCATTTCAGGCTCCCTCATCTCAGCTGCCCACAGAACTAGCTGGGGACATCTCCCTGGACACCTGCGAGCCCCTCTAGGTTCAAGACTCTTGCCAACCCTAAGATGGCTCCCTTAATTAGGATATATACTTCCCTGCTCCCATTCCCACCCTTCCTTTTTCCCAAAATTCCCATTCCCCCAAGCTCCCCCCCATCCTCCCCTTCTCACTTTTCTCTCCCCATTTCCCCTTACCCCCATCCCACCCTACCCTCAAGTTCCCAGTTTTTGCCTGGAAATCTTGTCTACTTCCCATATCCAGGGGGATGACTGAATGTTTTTCTTTGGGTTCACCTTCTTAGTTAGCGTCTCTAGGATCACAAATTATAGGCTCAATGTCCTTTATTTATGGCTAAAAACCAATTATGAGTGAGTACAACCATGTTCATCTTTTTGGGTCTGGGTTACCTCACTCAGGAGAGTGTTTTCTATTTCCAGCCATTTGCATGCAAAATTAAAGAAGTCATTGTTTTTTACCACTGAGTAGTACTCTAATATGTATATATTCCACATTTTCTTCATCCATTATTCCATTGAAGGGTATCTAGGTTGTTTCCAGGTTCTGACTATTACAAATAATGCTTCTATAAACATAGTTGAACAAATGCTTTTGTCATATGATAGGACATCTCTTGGGTATATTCCCAAGAGTGGTATTACTGGGTCTTGGGGTAGGTTGATCCCGAATTTCCTGAGAAATCGCCACACTAATTTCCAAGTGGTTGCACAAGTTTGCATTTCCACCAGCAATGGATGAGTGTACCCCTTATTCCACAACCTCTCCAGCAAAGGCTATCATTGGTGTTTTTTGATTTTAGCCATTCTGACAGGTGTAAGATGGTATCTCAAAGTTGGTTTAATTTGAATTTCCCTGATAGCTAAGGAGGTTGAACATGACCTTAAGTGTCTTTTGGCCATTTGACTTCTTCTGTTGAGAATTCTCTGTTCAGTTCAGTGGCCCATTTTTAATTAAGTTAATTAGTACTTTAAAGGCTAGTTTCTTGAGTTCTTTATATATTTTGGAGATCAGACCTTTGTCTATTGCAGGCTTGGTGAAGATCTTCTTCTAATCAGTGGGATGCCATTTGTCTTAGTGACAGTGTCCTTTGCTTTACAGAAGCTTCTCAGTTTCAGGAGGTCCCATTTATTCAATGTTGTCCTTAGTGTCTGTGCTGCTGGGGTTATACCATGCACAAAACTCAAGTCCAAATGGATTAAAGATTTCAATATCAGTCTGAACACACTGAACCTGATAGAAGAGAAAGTGGCAAGTACTCTACAACATATGGGCACAGGAGACCACTTCCTACATATAACACCAGTAGCGGGGAGTGGGACGTCAGGAGTAGGGGGAAGGGGAGGAAAAAGGGGGGCGGGGAGGGGGCAGAAATTTTTAATAAAGAAAAACAGTGATTTTGCAAACAGCAGAATGTTGGAAAACACATCTCAATCACAAAGACAGGTATCTACTCAGAATAAGGGGTTGGGAAAAGGTGTTTCAAGCAAATAGTCCTACAAAAAAAGCAGGTGTGGTCATACTAATTTCTAACAAAACTGACTTCAAACTAAAGTCATTCAGAAGAGATTGAGATGGACACTTTATACTCATAACAGTAAAAATTCATCAGGTTGAAGTCTCAATTCTGAATATCTACGCCCCTAATATAAAAGCACCCACTTATGTACAAGAAATATTACTAGAACTCAAGACAGACATCAAACCACACACACTAATAGTAGGAAACTTCAATACATCTCCTTCTCCAATGGACAGGTCAATCAGACAGAAACCTAATAGAGAATTAAGAGAATTACTGGAGGTAATGAAGCAAATGGACTTAACATACATCTATAGAACATTCTACCCAAATAGGAAAGAATATACCTTCTTCTCTGCAGCTCATGAAACCTTCTCAAAAATTGACCACATACTCAGAAACAAAGGAAACCTCCACAGATACAAAAAATTATCAGGCTCCACCTGTGTCTTATCAGATCACTACAGACTACAGTTAGAAGGCAACAAAAATGCTACCCCCAGAAAGCCGGCAAACTCATGGAAACTGAACAGTCAACTACTGAACCACATCTGGTTCAAGGAAGAAATTAAGAAAATAAAGTCTTTCTTGAATTTAATGAACATAAAAGACAACATACGCAAACCTATGGGACACGATGAAAGCAGTTCTAAGAGGAAAGTTCATAGCACTAAGTGCCCACTTAAAGAAAACAGAGAAAGCATACATTGGGGACTTAATAGCACACCTGAAAGCTCTAGAAAAAAAAAAAGAAGCAGATGCACTCAGGAGGAGTAGAAGACTGGAAATAATCAAACTGAGGGCCGAAATCAACAAAATAGAAACAGAGAAAACAGTCCAAAGAATCAATGAAACAAAAAGTTGGTTCTTGGAGAAAATCAACAAGATTGATAAACCCCTATCCAAACTAATTAAACAACAGAGAGAGAACACGCACATAAATAAGATCAGAAATGAAGAGGGGGACATAACCACAGACACAGAGGAAATTCAGAGAATAATTAGATCTTACTACAAAAGCCTGTATGTCACAAAACTGGAAAATGCAAAGGAAATGAACATATTTTTAGATAAGTACCATATACCAAAGCTAAACCAAGACCAGGTGAACAATCAAAATAGACCTATTAGTCGTGAAGAACTAGAGACTGTTATAAAAAAATCTCCCTTCCAAAAAAAGCCCAGGACCAGATGGCTTCAATGCAGAATTCTACCAGAACTTCCAAGAAGAGCTAATACCTATACTCCCTAATGTATTTCACAATATAGAAACAGAAGAGTCATTGCCAAATTCCTTTTATGAAAGCACAGTTTTCCTGATACCTAAACCACACAAAGACCCAACCAAGAAAGAGAATTACAGGCCTATCTCACTCATGAATATTGACGCAAAAAATTCTCAATAAAATACTGGCAAGCTGAATCCAAGAACACATTAGAAAAATTATCCATTATGATCAAGTAGGCTTCATCCCAGAGATGCAGGGCTGGTTCAACATACCCAAATCTATCAATGTAATCTACCATATAAATAAACTGAAAGAATAAACCATATGATCATTTCACTAGATGCTGAAAAAGCATTCAACAAAATCAACACCCTTTTATGATAAAGGTCTTGGAGAGATTAGGGATACAAGGGTCAGACCTAAATATAATAAAAGCTATTTACAGCAAGTCGACAGCTAACATTAAATTAAACGGAGAAAAACTCAAAGCCATCCCACTAAAATCAGGAACACAACAAGGATGTCCACTCTCTCCATACCTCTTCAATATAGTTCTTGAAGTTCTAGCAATAGCAATAAGACAACATAAGGGGATCAAGTGGATTCGTATTGGAAAGGTAGAAGGTAAGCTTTCGTTATTTGCAGATGATATGATAGTATACATAAGCGACCCCAAAAACTCTACCAAAAAACTCCTACAGCTGATAAACACATTTAGTAATGTGGCAGGATACAACATCAACTCCAAAAAAAATCAGTTACCTTCCTATACACTAAGGATAAGGAAGCAGAGAGGGAAATCAGAGGAGCATCCCCTTTCATGATAGCCACAAATAGCATAAAATGTCTTGGGGTAACTCTGTCCAAGGAAGTGAAAGATCTATTTGACAATATCTTTAAGTCTTTGAAGAAAGAAATTGAAGAGGATACCAGAAAATGGAAGGATCTCCCTTGCTCTTGGATTGGGAAGATCAACATAGTAAAAATGGCAATTCTACCAAAAGCAATCTATAGATTCAATGCAATCCCCATCAAAATCCCATCAAAATTCTTCACAGATCTGGAGAAGACAATAATCAACTTTATATGGAAAAACAAAAAAACCAGGATAACCAAAACAATCTTATACAATAAAGGATCATCTGGAGGCATTGCCATCCCTGACTTCAAACTCTATTAAAGAGCTACAGTATTAAAAACAGCTTGGTATTGGCATAAAAACAGAAGTCGATCAATGGAATCGAATAGAAGACCTTGACTTTATCCCACAAACCTATGAACACCTGATTTTCGATAAAGGAGTTAAAAGTATACAATGGAAAAAAGAGGGCATCTTCAATAAATTGTGCTGGCAAAACTGGATGTCAACATGTAGAAGAATGAAAATAGATCCATATCTATCACCATGCACAAAACTCAAGTCCAAGTGGATTAAAGACCTCAATATCAGTCTGACCACACTGAACCTGATAGAACAGAAAGTGGGAAGTACTCTACAACACATGGGCACAGGAGACCACTTCCTACATATAACACCAGCAGCACAGACATTATAGGCCCCCATTGAATAAATGGGACCTCCTGAGACTGAGAAGCTTCTGTAAAGCAAAGGACACTGTCACTAAGACAAAAAGGCAAGGCGGGAATGCAAACTTGTGCAACCACTCTGAAAAGCAGTGTGGTGGTTTCTCAGGAAATTCGGGATCAACCTAACCCTGGACCCAGCAATGCCACTCTTGGGAATATACCCAAGAGAGGCCCTATCATACAACAAAAGTATATGCTCAACTATGTTCATAGCAGCATTGTTTGTAATGGCCAGAACCTGGAAACAGCCTAGATGCCCTTCAATGGAAGAATGGATGAAGAAAGTATGAAATATATATGTATTAGAGTACTACTCAGCAGTAAAAAACAAGGACTTCTTGAAGTTTGCATACAAATGGATGGAAATAGAAAACACTATCTTGAGTGAGGTAAGCCAGACCCAAAAAGAGGAACATGGGATGTAC